CCAACAGACTGCTTGGAGGGCACCCATTGCCCTGGAATGTCCTGAGGTCTTCTCTCTGCCTTCCTGAGTGCCACCCCTGCCGGGATTGGAGCAGGAGTGGCTTCTGTTGTCACACTGCCTGAGCCCTGGGACAGAACAGCCCCAAAAGCCCTGCAGCTGTTGGAGAGGTGAGGGCAGTGGTTTCCAGGCAGTTTTGTGATTATTATAAAGCGTTTCACTCTGAATCATAGTAGTTCTCTTGTCTTCCATAGCTCTTCTCAGCCAGCAATTCTGAGAAAACGTGGCACCGTGACCCTGTGACCTGCTGGCTCTGTGACTGCTCAGTGGTTGCAGATGTCTGTGTCTCAGGGGTGCTCTTGGGCTCCCCACAAGAGCCTAATTACCAGAAAAGCTCAGGCAAGTTGATGAATGAGCTTAAAGATGCTGATATTAGCACCTTGAATTGCTGTCTTGGGCAAACGTATTTCCCCTTTCCACTTTGCTCTAAGGTCACATTAGAGGAGTTTCTGGAGTATTTCTGCATTGTCTGTCTGCACATCACAAGCCAGCTCTTGAAAATAATTCCATGCCAGTGTACAGTCACAATATATTACAAACTTCTAAATTTCCAGGGACTGCTTTGGCCTTTCTTGGGGCTGCTCCTTGGTGGATGCTTACAAGTCGTTACTGACATATTAGTGTGCCCAGCTCATTGATCCCCAACCAACAACATTTTAATGTCATGGTCCTTGTTGGTACTTTAGTCTTCAAAGTCATCCAGCTTCTGGACTGTGATAGTTTCATCACTGTATAGAAAACTTTGCATCCTCCTCAAGCATTGTTCACAGCCTCCTCTTGTCTGTTTCTAGGAAATCACTAGTGGTATAAACCATGAGCAGTCAAAGTCATGCCTGGAGGGGCTCAGCTCATAGAACCTCTCCAATGTGATGATTCCATCCACAGCTTGGTGCTGTGGTTGCCAGATGAGGGTCTCATCAGCCCAGCGAGGTCTCAAGACAGGGAGCAGCCATGTCACTAGGCACAAAGCACCTGGCTGTGAGCAGCATGTTCACCAGCATGTGTCAAAGCAAACTCAACACCAGCTACCAGCAGGCAAAGCTAGGATCAAGTGCTGTCTGCCGAGAACTTACATGGCTCCTGCTGAGGCTCTTGGGTCTGTGTCTGATTCCTGGCCATGGCAGCATCAGGATCCCCATCCTTCTCTGCACCCTGTTCCTCTGTCAGCCACCATCATCGGCAGCTGCTCAGGGTCCCCTCCTTCCAGGCAGTCACAGGTTTTATCCCCCCTGCCATGGGCCACTGACGCTCACTTGGTATTTCCCCTGCCTCTGCAGCTCCCGGCCTGTCTCAGTGCTGTGAGTGCTGTCCCCGTGTGGCGCACAGGAGGTGACACTTGTGCTGTGTCCCTGCTGGCAGCTCTCGGGCAGGCTCTTCCAGGGCTCAGCAGCACTGCAGAGCACTGGTGCCTGTCCTCAAAGAACCTTGCACTGACACCAGCATCCACCACATTGTGCCTGGAAAAGCGATTTCTGAATGAATGAAAGTAGCCAGTGGGACAAAATATTCACTGGTATAGCCTGCTGTCAGACACATTGATGAGCTCCTGCCTCCTCTCCCTGCTGGGGAATATCTCCATCTCCCCTGCATTGCTGTGTCCTGCTGGCTGCAGCTGCAGGGGCAGAGCCCCTGGCAGGATGGGAGGGGTGCTGGTACCATCTCCACACACAGAGAGGGACACAGGGCTCTGGCTGCCCTGCAGTGCCTCTGCCCCACGGGGTTGCTTTCCTGCCTTTCTCACGGCCAGAGGGGATGGTGCAACAGCAGATCTTGACCAAAAGAGAACTGTGGGGTTGAGAGCAAAACATGTCAGTCTTATTTTTAGCGTGTCAGATGGTGGTTTGAGGCTAAGTGCAGCAATCCCACACAATGACCAGCCCTGGTTGTTGGGGCTGTTTCCCCTTTCCCCTTCCCCAGCAATGCACGGAATTGCCTATGGCAGGAAATGCTGTGGGGCTCCTGTGTTGCAACCCTCCCCATGCTCCTGCACTGATGCCTTGTGGGGCTACCTAAAAACAGAGGCCAGACAAAATTAAGAGAATAAAAAGCAGCTATATTTATTGTAAGGCCTTCAGGTTCATTTAGGGCAGACGAAGACCCACAAGGGCTACACCCAAAAATGGATGATGGGTCACAGGTTTTCACACTTTTATAAATTTGTCCATTTGATATTGGGGGTCAATCTTCCAAGTACAGCTTCAGGTAATGAAGCCATGTACCCCCAGTTTGCTCCCCCCAACTCACTTTTATTTTACATCTCTCAGGGCCTGAGGCAGTGAGGTGTCCTTGATTGTCAGGCCTGGAGAGGAATTGTTGTGTCTGCCCAATGTGGAGTTTAGAGTTATATACTAAAGAACTGCAGGATTATAAATACATGAAAAACACAAAATCTAAAGTTCTAAGGCATCAGCAGCACCAGGGACCAGCTGAGTATCTGTGCCCACACACTGGGCAGGGCATGGAAAAGCCTGTGCTTCCCAAGAGCCTGATGCTGCTCCAGGGCTTGTGGAGTTCCCTGGAGGCTGCTGGGCAGCACTCACGCCTGGAACAGCTGTGCTGTGCCAAGGAAACAAAATCAGAGATGCCTCCAGCACCTGAAAGCAGCACCCAGCCCACAGCTCCCCAGTATTGTCCTTCAGCCCCTGGAGATCAAACCTCTGATAAGAACTCAGGTCTCAGGCCTGCCCAAATGCCACCAAACAGCAAAATAGTGTCTAATGCCAGCCCCTGCTTTCCATGCATAGAAGGGCCAAAAATGTTATATTGGTGGCTACTCACTCACTCACTTACTCACCCACCCACCCACATAAAAGCAGATTATTTTTGCAGATTCATAAAAGCAAGATTCTGAATTGCTTTGAAGACTTTTCCTTCTTTTCCTTTCCTTCCTTCTTTTTTTTTCTCCCTCACAAGCTTGAAGTGGAAACTATTATTAGCATTTTTTTCTTTTAAGGGACAGGAAAGTTACATCTTGCAGAAATGTTGCTAAAATGCGGTGGTTCAACCTTGCTGTTTGGGGCAGCTGATGGACTCTGCCATTTCCCAGACTCTTGTGCTAGGAAATGGAAAAGATTTGGGGTTAAGGATGTTGCCATCCTCCTGGATTGCTATTGCAGTGCTGGATGGAAGCCAGCAGTTTGTTGTGGCCCAGGGTCTGATAACTCATCTGTTCTATTCACTGGGAGCACTCAGGGAGCTGAGGCTTTGTTCAGATTGAAACCAGATGCCAGAAACCCATCCTAAACTTGACATTTAAACCAGGTAATAACTTTTGTCCAAGGTAGAACATATATCTTCAGATAATCAGGAAGTTCCTTGCTCATCTTTGGGTTTCACTGTTAAATACCCTGCTGGAAGGCAGATCTTATATCTCTGTGGCAAAGGCTTTTCTCCCAATCTCCAGTATAGGTTTAGCATTAAGAGTAGAGGACTCTGCTGTATAATGGTAATAAATGAATATTTATTTATAGATATGTTACTGTGACACATCTTTATTTTCACTTGCAAAAGTATGGATTTTTTTTTTTGGTTTGTTTTCATACATTCAGTGGAAACAGCAAAAAAAAAAATCTTAGTGATGACAGAGATTGTGAAATCAACTAATTTCCCCTTTACAATGAGAAAAAGGATCACTTATGAGACCTATATGTGAGGCCACATGTATAAAAAGCATTGCTGTTCTGTATTTCAGAGTAGATAACCTATTTGGAGCCCATTGGAAATTGAACAAGTTCTCCACGTTAACTGGGAGAAAACATGAGCATGACTGAATCTGCAAAAATAAGCAAGTTGTTTGCTGTCTGGATTAACAGTAGGTTGATATGAATCTTTATCTCTTTTTTCAAAATAATAAAAAAAATCATAATAATCGTTTTGGAACAGGCATTCACTATAAGCAATGAGATGCAGGGTCTCAGAAGGGAATCCTAGGTCCAAAAATCTTTTTGAAGGCCTCCGTGCTGTTCCTGAAGTAGCAGTGTTTTTCCTTGCTGAACACCACTTGCCTGGCTTGTAAGAGATGGCTGCCAAGAAGGCTCTTGCTTTCTGGGGGTAGTTAATTGCAGCATATTTGTTGATGGGTGACAACACTCACACATCTCCTTAAGCAATAGATGGTTGATAAGATCAGGCACTATTTGTCTCCCATATCTTTTCCTGTCTTTGAAAAGATCATTTAGAAGGCAGAACGAGGACTAAACAGTGTGCAATGGTTAAACTGGTCACATACACACACAGGCTACTTGCTCTGCTTGCAGTGAAATACCAGTAATGCCAGAACATTAGAAAATACACCAGTGAAGAAAACTGGGACTGGAGTTATCAGCTGAATGACCTGAGTAGTTTCATCTGTTCTTACGGCACCGTTGCTCACTGCAGCTTCTGCTGTGTTGTCTGCCTAAGCATTGACGCAAAGCAGGTGGATCTAATGTCTGGATATGGGACACTTTCCGTGCTGGGAACAGTCCTTTGTTTATTTCAGCAAGGTCTAGTCAGTGGTTTCAGACTGTGGTCTGAACCTGTGTCACTACCGCGTGGTGACAGACTCGTAGGGGAACTAGATGTCAGTTGTCACTAAGGAAGTTATTTGTCTCTAAGTTTACATCAGCAGAATGTGAGCTTGCAGTCTCAGGAGGAAATATTTTGGAGTTTTTACAAGTCACTGAAAGTGAAGGACCATGAAGCCAACCAAGACAAGCTGTCACCAGGAGGCGCCTGGAGCTGCGATGCAATGATACAAGACAGTAGTCAGAGCTGGAGTCAAGTCACTGAGGACAGCAGGACAAAATTCAAGTTAACATCAGACCCTTTGGAGGGGTTTGCCCCTTTTTGTCCATATGCCTGTGCCTACAATGATTGCAAACGCTGCATGTGGCTCCATTGCCTGTGCCTCAAAACTTGAGCAGCTTTGTGGCACTCAACACGTGCCATGCACTACACCTTGTTCATATCATCACTTGATCCGTGGGTGGCTGTGACTCCTCGCTTTGGTTCATCTTGGACCTGATAAATATACACTTGGGGAACATAGAAGAAAACTCTGGAAATTCCTTGGCTGCAAAATAATAGCAAAATGCATCCAGACAGCAGTTAGAATTTGCTAAGCATGCAGAGACCTTAATGTAGGTTATAACTCCTGGCATCAGAGAACAAGCTCCAGCAGTTTCCACCACAAACCGCAAGAGCAGTGAGATGTGGAAAGGTGAGAAACAGATAGCAAACACACACAAATTCACAGAAACTATCTGCACTGCCTTCTGGAATAATTTTGTCTCATGAGGACCTGTGGCCATTTTCTTTTTTAGACATCTGATGATTTGTATGGAGCAAAACATCACAATCCCTAAGGGAATAAAGTACCCACAAATGCTGTAGAATAAGGAGGAATATTTAGGTAGAAGAGATTGTTTCTGAAAGCAAAAACCGTCCTGGTTACCGCGATGTGTGCGATACGAAAGGGAATAAGTTATCATTGCTATCCAGAGAAAGCCACAGATAGAAGCTGACTTCAGTGGGGATCGAAGGATCTTTGCTTTTAGAGGGAACTTGATTGCAAGGTATCGATCAATCGCAATCAGGGTGATGATGAAGATGCTCATAGGCATGTTTGTAAAATAGATGTTTTGTATGGTTAAACACAGCCGGTCTATGGGATGTGTGTAGCTGGTAAAATACAGAAGGAAAGGCAGGGTGAAGAGCAGGGAAGAGTCTGCCATGATGAGGTTGATCATGTACACCTTGGTCTCGGTCCACCTCTTGATTTTGCAGCAGAAGACCCATAAGGCAATTGCGTTCAGTGGGATCCCCAGAACGAGCACTGGGATGTACACAATCAGCTGAAGCACCACAGTGTTGTTATGTGCACCTCTGTGAGTGCAGTTCTCCATGTTGGGCTGTCTCTGCAAGGAAAGAGTGCAGGCATGAGACTGAGCTCACTGGCAGCGTCCTGCGGCTGTGCCCTCCTCTCATGGCCCTGCAGGTCCTTGTGTCCGTGCGCTGCTCATGTGGGCAGCCTCAAAAATCTGAACTGGTTTTTGTTCAGTCCACAAAACTACCGAGACTGCCCTCTCTTGCTGCTGGCGCAGGGTTAAGCCTTCCTCACCATCCCTCCAGTCCTGGTATGAACAGTTGGGTCACAGCAAAGCAGAATACTATTTTTCATTGTTACCTTCGCTCTGCTGTGGTTGTCAGAGCCATTGGCTTTAGGACAGCCCACACCAGAGCTGGGCAGCATTACCCATTTGCCCTGAGCAGCATTCCCCCTTTTTCCTGGGCAGCATTCCCCATTTTTCTTGGGCAGCATTCCCCATTCGCCCTCCACAGCCCTTGGTTTGCTGCTGAAGCCACTCCATGGTTTTACTCTGAGTCTTGCCAGACCTGAGAAAATCCTCAGGGCTTGAGCCCTTCCAGCCCAGTGGCTTTGCTCCCAGGGACAGTGGGAATGCTGCCACAGGCTGCTGGGTGGGTGGGTGCCTGCTGTGAGCCGGATTTGTGCCCCCAAACACAAATCCATTCTGCTGGTGGAGAGGAACAGCTCAGCAGGAGTATCAGCAGTCCTAGCAGATTACAGGCCTCCAGAGAAAGAAGGGAAAGTGAGCAAATGAGCACATGTGTCTGATCTCAGCCTTCAAAGGTAGGAAGCAAAAATTTTAGTCAGAAAACATGAATCTGAGAACATATCTCCTGCTCTTCCTTTAAATATCTCAGGGCATTTGCCACCAGCAAAGAGGATGAATCAGATTTTGTCTGCAGCTCATATAGGAAGGGTTTGCAATGAGCCAGGCACAGAAAGTGCCCAGATTCCTACAATCTCTTACCAATACCTCGCCTTATAAGTCAGCAGCTTCTAAACATCAATATGCAAATTGTAGTGAAAATAGATGATTGCATTAAGTAAGTTAACTGTTTCTAGTGTCCAACACTGGGAGACAGATCTGGCAGAGGAAAGCACAACACCTGCCCTAGCACCAGAACTGGTACGGCAGTGCTGAACCCCAGGCGTACAGTCATCTTTAGGGTGGAATTCATGGAGGAACTAACATACAGCCACTGTCCTGGTGCTCTTGGGCTTTCAGCCTCATAGGTTTTGGTCACTCTGTGGTTTCAGCCTATGCTGCAGCTGTTGCCTGGCAGCCTGTTGTGGTCACCTTGCAGTGAAAAAGCCACTCTGCCATATCAGTGGCCTGAGGAACAGCAGAGCCCTCTGGGCTGGACATGCCAGCCCCAGGGAGCCCCACACAAGCACGGAGCTGGTGGCAGCTCCAAGGCCGTGTGGCAGCTGTCCCCACTGCTGAGGGAGCACTAATGGGACCTGCAGCGAGGGGCAGAGAGCCCCTGGGCGGGATGTGGCTGCAGAACAGAGGCAGAGCAGCTGTGGGAGCAGCAGGGAAGCCGGGCAGCGGGAAGCAGGGGTTGAGGCGCTCCCTGAGGGGCCGGGCAGGGCACGGTCGCTGCTGTGGGACAGGGAAGGGAGGGCTGGCTTTACCTGCTCCGCGGGCGGGCTGCTCCTCACACAGGCCGCGGATATCTCGGCAGGGAAGGGCTCCGTGCTGTCACTGCTGTCCCGGGGCTGTCACAGCCCGGCAGGGCTGAGCCCAGCACTGAACTCGTGCGAACACCAGCGCTTCATTTATGCCCTGACTTCCTCGGTCTGGAGCCTTTGGTGCCCTCTGTTGTCCCGCTGCCGGCAGCTCAGAGCTCCGCCGTCGGCCCCCCCGCCCATCCCCGCCTCGCCTCACACAGCCCGGCTATTAAAATGTCATCTTTCCAATCGGGGGAAAACAATTTCTGAGATAAAGCCCGTAATGGTTGCAAATTGCCCGTCTGGCAGCAGAAGGTTCCTCAGGGAGGCTGGGCAGCGGTGCTGCGGGGGCAGAGGGGGCCCGGTGGGACAGGGACAATTCCAAGGGGACAATGGTGCCTGTGCCCCCGGGGACAGCGAGCCTGGGGACACACAGTGCTGCTGTCACCTGCACCTGACAGATCTATGGGCTGGCTCTCCCTCTACACAGCAGCCAGGAGTGTAACTCTGCCCATCAGCATGGCTGGGATGCCAGATCACGGCAGTCACTGCCACCAGTGTGGCACTGAGGGGCTGGGACCTTTGGGAGCATGGTTAGGAGCTGCCCAGTGCTGTGTCACAGACTTTTGGATGGGCTTTGCTGCCCACTGGCTAGAGCAGTTGCAATCCCATCTCTGCGAGCCAGCTGACAGGAGCCAGACTGACTCCTTCAGGATTTGTCCCGTTAATTCTTGTCTTTGGAGCTGTCATGGTGTGACACTGGCCAAATGCCTGGCACCCACGAGAGCTGCCCTCTCACCCTCCCCTGCCACAGCTGGGCAGAGGAGAGGAACATTTAACAAAGGGTTCCTACGCTGAAATAAGGACTGGGAGAAAACACTCCAAGGGCAAAACAAGCTCATCTTAGAGATACAAAGTGATTTTATTACTTTCAAAATTAGACGAGGATAATAAGAAGTAAAGTAAGCCCTTAAAACACCTTTTCTTCTCCTAACCCCTCCCTCCTTACCACTGACAGCACAGGGAGACAGGGCATGGGGGTTTGGGTCAGTTCATCCCCGAGATTTCCTTGTGCTGCTCTGGGAGAGCAGTCCCTATGAGACCATGGGAGAGACAGTTCTCTGTGAACTTTTCCAGAGCTGGGTCCACTCTCACAAGCAGCACTTCTCCCAAAATTCCTGCAAAGTGAGTCCCTCCCACGGGAGACAGTCCTCCCAAAACTGCTGCAGTGTGGGTCATTCATCCACGGCATGCAGTCCTCCAAGGACAGGCTGCTCCAGCCTGGGAGCAGGGCCCCCTCTCCACTGGGGCTCCCACTGGATCACAGCCTCCTCCAGGCATCCACCTGCTCCAGCATGGGCACCTTCCCCATGGGCTGGGGGGGAATGGGGGGAACTCCACATCCCCTGTGGATCTCTGCATCCCTCATGGATCCCCACAGGCTGTGGATGGATCTCTGCATCCCCCCTGGATCCCCATGGGCTTTGGGTGGATCTCTGCATCCCCGTGGATCTCTGCATCCCCCATGGATTCCCAGGGCTGTAGCAGCACAGCTCCTTCACCATACTCTCACCATGGCTGCAGAGGAATCTCAGCTCTGGCCCCTGGAGCACCTCCTGTCTATCCTTCTCCACTGATCTTGGTGTCTCCACGTTGTTTCTCTCACATGTTCTCACCTTCTTCTCTGGCTAGAAAAAGCTGTGTCCCCCTATATTTTGATTTTCGTCTTAAATCTGTTACCACAGAGGTGTTTCCGACCTCTCTCATTGGCCCAGCCTTGGCCAACAGCACGCCCATCCTCAGCGCCATCAGGGGCTGGCTCTGCTGGACATGGTGGAAGCTTCCAGCAGCTTCTCACAGGAGCCACCTTTGTGGACCCCCTGCTACCAAAAACCAGGCCCTGCAAACCCAGCAGAGGAGGTCATGCTCTCAAAGGTGACAGCAGCAGATGGTGCATCATTTGTGGGCTGACTGAGGGCAGGTGTAGGTCAAGGGGAAAGATGTGTTTGTGGGCAGGAAAGACTCCCCCACGCTGTCTGGTGGAACACTCTTGAGTATTGCCAGGCAGAGCTCAGTGCTGTTTTGGGGGTTTTTTAGCATTCAGAAAGAAAAAAAGCCCAGTTCGAGGCAGCATTTATCCACTTCCTCTGTCCCCTGACTTTTCTGGGCTGCTGACTTGTGGAAAAACACAAATCCGTGATGGAAATGTTAGGGGTGTCAGTGTGGGCAGGCTGTGGAAACCCAGCAGGGTGGGGCTGCTCTGAGCCCGAGCTGTGGTGGCCCTGGGGGTCAGCCTGGTGACACAGCGCAAACCAGGGCAGGGCAGTGCCAGGGTGGCAAGTGCCAGGGCAGCAGTGAAAGGCCTTCAGTGTGTGGGAGGAACAGCCCTGCAGGGATGGCTGCTCTGAGGAGCTGTCTGGGAGCCAGGGCTCAGCAGGGCAGCTGGAGGCACCTGGCAGGAGGACAGCTCTGAAATCTGGACTTTGTGCCTTTATGGCACTGGACAAGTGTTGCTTTCATCCCAGAAGTGTTCCTTCACACCTGTCTGACCTGTTGAGGTGAAGGGGAAGGAGGTCAGGACAGCCTAGGTTGTTTTGTAGGGACATGGGCTTAATAATATGCCAGAACCATCTGAACAGCCACCCAGCCCAGGCTGCCAAAGGAATGGGATAAATATAAACTGCTGTCTTGGTTTGGAAAGACAGGTGCCTGCTAAGGAAGGCAGGAGCCTCTCCTGAAATGGAGAATGTAAACCCCCCCCCACACCCCTCCCAATTGGTATAAATTTTAAATTAAGGGGCTCTCAGGCAAAAAAATATGGGAGCAGGAAATAACAGTTCTTTAATAGGGAAGAAAAATAAAAGGATAAAATAAACAATGCAGTACACTAGAACAACACTGACAGAGTCAGAACCCAACCTGACACGCTGTGGGTCAGGCTGTTGGTGGCAGTCCCATTGGAATTGTGGCTGCAGCCCTCCTGCAGTGTCAGGGGTGGTTCTGCTGGAGCAAGGGGGATCTGTAGAGAAGGGTGGAATCTTCCCCTGAAGATCCAGTGGCAGAGGCAGCTGGTGTTCCTCTGGGGAATCCAGTGGAGAAGCTGTGCTGGTGTTCCAGAATCTCCAGATTATATCCGGGTAGGAATGCTTGGCTCCTCCCTCTGGGCTCACATCTCCCAATGGGATGCTGTAGTTCTTTTCAGCCATGCAGTGACATTCAATAGCAGATGTCCCCCCAGAGAGAGGAGTGGGTGTGGAAGAGATAAAGCAAACTGCCCACTGAACAGAAGACAACTGCCATACAGTTGGCAAATAGAATACATCTTGGCTTGCAGTCTGGGACAACTGGATTTGTTTAATAATGGAA